ATGACTAACATAAGCAACTTAAATCAGAAAAATCAACACTTTAATGTCAATGAAGGAAGAAAGTGAACCTACTTTTCCACCACACGTCCATAATCTTCTTCCGGGATTCTTATCAGTCCATGATGTCACTAACTTCATCTCTTTCCCACATTTACAACAGGGCACATCGAGCCATTCGCCATACTCACAGATTCTTCTATAGGAAGTGAAAGAGTGACTACCACAAGTATTAAAAAATAAAAAAAATGTAAATATATGTTCATCAATTGCTGCTTAATACCAGAATTTTCAAAAAATTACCTGTTTTGAGCCATTCACGACCAGATTCGTCTTGCAACCTGCATAACCAAAACAGCAAAACTCAATCTCTTTTCCTTCAATTTGAGTCACACGCACAAAAGCAAACCCTACCTTTTTATCAAAGCAAATATGAACTAAATGTAGAGATGGATCTTGACCAAAATTTTGTCTATTTAACGCAAACCAGACCTCTTCAATTCGTACCTCTTCAACGCAAACCCTAGCTCTTCAATTCGTATGCTTCAAATTCCGGATTTTCAAGCTCTTTTTATCTCCAAAAATCTTATCCTCTAATCTATTCGTACGTTCATTTTCCTCTTTTTATCTCAATCATATTAACCCTATTAATACCAACCTCCTTTGACGGAAGAATAAACGGAGTGGACTCATCAGTAAGTTTTTATATATTTTGGGGTACCCCGTAGTTAGTTTTAAAAATAGAGGGTACCCGGCAGTTATTTCATCAAAATAGGGGTATCCCAGAGCAGTTTTTTTGACACCCGGGCCATATGACAATCCAAATCAAATTTAGCTAGCATGATCTTGCTTGATCCGACAAGGTTTTTCAGGCTCCTTTACAATCCAAGAAGATTCAAGCGCAAAGGGCAGCAGATGATCCTCATCTGAAACGTCTCTACTCGCCTTAGGAGGAGTTCCGGTGAGTTCTTAATTGAATGTGGCCTTTCTGTTCAGTCAAATCCCAACCGTAGAGAAATGGACTCAAAACCCCCCATAATGTTAATGTAGAGTTTTGTAGGAACGAATTCATCTCATTGTATGCGAGGTGCTTACCAATGATCTTCTTGAATTGATCCAGTGTTTTTTTGCTTAGATCGCTTGAGGGGAGTATGTGGTTGTGTAGTGTAGATATCTGAGAGATTTGCTAGGGTTAGCAAAATGTTGCATGTTCCGGCAAGTATAGAAGAACAGCTTATGCTGAAAGCGATCAGGGAAGAATGCCCTTGGGAAAGCCTTCCGAAGAGGCTCCAAGCTACTTTGAATTCGGTTGATGAATGGCACAAAAGGTTTGCGTTATGATCATCTGTGTTGACTAGTGTAGATATGTTTTTGGTGAAATTTCTAACTGGACCTGTTTGAAATTTGTGGGGGACTGATCTGGTGTAAACAGATTCGTGTGTCTGCTCTTATCGTTTCAACTAGGGGCACTATAATGGCAAGATATAATCAGGACACTCTTGGGATTTCTTACTTGTTGCAGGATAAGCGACCACTGCATAAGGAGGAGACTCCAGTGGAATAGTTGTTTTGCTCGGAAAGTATGCAAAGAAGGGGAATACTATGAAGAGATGATGCGGTATCTGCGAAGGAATTTATCAGTATGTGTGATACTTTCTTCTTCTTTTCTAATATGAAACTCTAGGTACTATAACATTATAATGCATCCACCAAAACTACTACTGAATTCCTACCTACCTGAGTTGAGATATTATCTACTATGCAGCTATGCTTATGAATTCTACCTTAATTAGTACTTTATAGAATTATCGATTTCCACATATGTTCAAAAAACCTGATTTTGCACTACTTAGAAAGAATTGTTTGAAATGACTGTTTTGTTTCCTTGAGTGGTTTTAGTGATTATTAGTTGTATGGATATACTCTGGAATATCTAGAATCCAAAAGGAAACTATAACTACATAGTGATTATGACCACTTTTTGTGATAGAGGTTATATTTTATATGAACCCGTTAAGCTTTCATTGCTCGCATTAGGAACAAAGATATTAGACTTACAATAGAAAACTACTCATATGGGTCAACAAGCTATACTTTGTAAATATCTACGGAAGAGACAATTACAATTAATATCAAAATGTGCAATAATATATTTTATATTCTATCTCACCTAGCTGAAGCAGGAGGAGGGTGGACGCTAAGATTGCATCAGAACTCTTCAAAGAGAAGAGATGTAGGAGACTAGGAGCCCCTAAGTGAAATGTCAGCACATTGATGGCGAGAGGGAACATGAAAAACTATATTACGTTAGAGAGCAACTTTTTTCGGAGTTAAAGTGGATATCTATCCCAATCATTTTGTGTGTTGTTGTTGAATCATATTACCGAACAAGTAAAAGACACGTATAATATCACAATAAACAAATGTGGCTTTGCCAAAGGGCTGTGCGGTTCCAGGAGAAGATTACACAATTTACACCACATTCAGGTTTGGGCAGAAACATTAGCCACTCCTGGGTATTCCATCTCTAGACTCGAGTGGGGTATAGTTGACTAATGTTTGGAGGACTGAGGACCAGGAAAGAATCAAAGAAGGTTGTCACCAAGGATCAAACAGTAGCAAATGGTGGAGTTTTGGGTATCCAGGCACCTTCCCTCGTCTTTATCAGGCAACGAAGAAGCTGAGAGAAGAGAGAAAGAGATGTATATAGAGAGCTAGGTTTCTGCGTGTGCATTGTAAAATGCTGCTCATAGCCTGCATGTGAACTATTTGCGCATCACTCGCGGGATGAATGAAGAACATAAGAGATATCCAGACAAGTGAAGGTGAGGTGCTAAATACTAAAGGAACAATTCAGAGTGGATCAACATGCCAGAGGTGGCATTGAGCTTTGCTGTCTTATCCACATTCATGGCCTAAGGGTTGTAAGAAGTCATGTTGACCTAGACAATAATCTCCTCAGCATATTTTTGATAATAGAGCTCAGCTGTGAGATGATATCTTGACACAAACAATCAGATGAATTAGTAAGAAGGATATTGTCAGCATGGAGAATGAGGTATGCCGTATACCATGCTTCAGCCCCTGATGGTTAACAGGCGTAGAGTGGTTTGTTATGACATAATCAGTTCTGGCATAAAATGTAGCAAATCAGTGATACCATCCCCAATGAAGGCAATGAGTTTGATGAGGATGAGATAACTTTATGGATGGTTATTGGTTTGACCACCGGTCCACTGATAGTTAGGGATGACAGAGGTAGTAGGGACGAGTTTGAGACACAATTAGTTATTTTCAATATTACTTTTGGATTAAATCTACTCACCTTGGTACCGGTGGTCGTGGCTTGGAGAGGGGCGATGTTGGTTGAGACACATTGGGTTGGTTGTGAAGGTAACAGAATGGTATTAGGGGGGAGGGGGAGTGGATTACTGAGGCATGCTGCATGCAGTGGACTTGGTCTTGCTTTGCTCGGAGTCTGGTTCCAGGCTGACCGATACCTACTCTACGCTGGAATAGAATCACAACCAGAAATGTTTTGCAGCAGTTTGGTGTGACTGTTGGTTCCTGATCCATTTCCCCATTGGTTCCGGATCAGATTTTTTATTTTTAAAAATTAATTTTTTTTGAAATGTGAGAAACAATGACAAAAAATGTATAAACTGATGATTCTTAATGATGAATAGAACCATAAAGAAGTTTACTATCACAAATGATCTTCTGCCAACCTGAAAGTTTGGAATTGTTTTTTTTGGTGTCAATCTCAATTGATCCATGTTCTTATGTGTTGCTTGGCTGCTTGCAGTTGTTCCCATATCATCTTGCAGAGTATATTTGCCGCGTGATGCGAGTGTCTCCTTTCAGATACTATTGCGATATGATATTTGAAGTCATGAAAAATGGTATAGCCTCTTAGATTTTTATTTTAAAACCTTTCTCATTTACACACACTCTTTAGATCCTAAAGTAATATCTCAATATTTTCATAGTATGCCATATACGTATGCATGCAAGATCTTACAGTATAACAGTAAACCAGACTGCCTTACATTTTGAAAATACACCAAGAGGTTTCATTCAGGTCAATGACCTTGCTTGCTAAAAATAATCAATTCTCCGGTAGTTAGGTCTCATAAATACAGACGCTGTCTCCTAGTTTGAGGTTTCTCAAGAAAAAGAAAGCTTTTTAATTCACATTTAATTAATTTTAATGTTTATCAATGGCCTTGTTTAGGTATAGAAGTTTTACTAAGGGTAGTAGTTATGTAAAGATACCAAAAATCCATTAGCTGCACATAGGGTTATGCTATTTCTATCTATTCTACTTAGCTTTCACATACTACATATCATATCAAGATTACACAAATGTACTTTTTCAATAAAGTGTTCTAACCTCTAGGTCATGCTTTCCTGAGTAGAATTCCTTATTCTTTCTTCAATTTGTTCTAACTCAGGATATCTACCCGAAATCTTTGTTTCCTATTTGTTCTGTATACATCTTACTATTTTTCTATGTTTAATTTATTGGGGAACATTAGTTTTCAAAGAGGCTTAGTTGTTTGAATGTGTTTTTGCTATATTATCTAGAACTAAGTTATTCTTCTCACATCCTATTCATACTACATTGCATGCAGAGCAACCGTATGACAGCATCCCAAATTTTAGTGCTGCAGATGCACTACGCCTCACTGGGATTGGAAGAAATGAATTCATCGACATTATGAACAAGTGCAGGTCTAAGGTAGTGTTTTAAAATATCTTTTATGCTATGGCCTCATTTGGTGAGGCGTATGAGACGTGCGGATATTATCATTTTTAGTATGAGTGTTTGTACTGCTTGATAATATGGTTAGTACCGGATAAATCTGTCTGTGATGGGTTTATGCCAGACTGGACAAAAAAATCCTGGTACTATCCCGACCCAGGTTTTTCTCTACTCCTTCAAGCCAACATGGCACATTATCCCTTTTCCTCTCAATTTTTCCAACAATTTCAAGATAGTTATTTTGTCTCCTGAATCCATAGTATCACAAAACACGAATAAAGAATTACAGAACAATTAACTCCAGCTCACCATAATCTGGCTAGAATAATTTAATCTGGTCTGGATTGCTAATGGTCCTTTTTTATTGCATTGACTGGGAAAAATAGATATGAGTGATACTACCTTAAGCTCTTAATATGAAACCAATTCATAAGGATATTATACTTGTTCGTACCATACATTTATGATGCATGTGAGACTTCATAGTTGCAACACCCACACACTTTGTAGTTTGACAAAACTTGATATGCATACAAGGGGCTCTTGATTTTTTAAAAAGGAAATTCCAAGCTACTAACATTTTAATTTGTTGGAGTTGAAATGAATATATCATTTTATAGGCTGTTTAATATTTACTCATTGCATTTCTAGTTTCATTGTTTCCAACATTCCACGTCCGAGTTTGAGAGATATTTTCTTGATTGCTTTCGAAAGATCTTATCACTGCATGAATTGCCCTATTCGTCAAACGACCACAGAACATTAGCTTTTCATCCCATTGAAGACGTTGGCCCTATTAAATAGCC